GGAGGAGGGAAGGAGGAGGAGGAGGAGGGGAGGAGGAGGGAAGGAGGAGGAGGAAGAGGAGCCACTTCATCAAAGCAAGGAGTTTGTTTTCCTCGTGGTTCCGTGTCAGAATCGACAAAGATCCACACAGAAAACAAAAGTTTCTTTTAATTAAAATAAATCGAAGCGCTCCCCTTATTTGTATCCGAGGACTTTGTTTGCTAAAACTAATTAAGCAGGGCTGCTATTATTATTCCGCAGTCTCTCTTTTATTATTTAACTAATAAGTTTACAAGAGAAGTGTACTTTTCCTTTATACTATTCTAGATCTTTAAATATTTGCTTTGCTATGATTAGTTGATTCCTCGTTTTTCAAACACAACCTCGTTCATCTTTTAAAATGTAACAATTTAACACTTCTTTGATATGCAATAGTTAACTGGATATATTCCGGATATGGACTGTTGATAAGACAAGAAGAAATGTGAAATAGGGGTGCATGATATTTAATAAATGGATATATATTAAATTATAAAAAAGTATATTAAATAAAGTGACACTTTACTTGTAATGTTTTGTGGTGGTACCAACAGGCAGATTGGAACAGGAAGTGAGGTTTTCTTTTTTGGGGATCTTTCTCCCCAACTCCACTTATGACTGGATTTAGGCTGTTATTGTAAAAGCTGATGACTCAGTTTAGGGGAAATAAAACAAGCGCTTTCTATTGGGCCGATAGGTCACTGAGACAAAGAGGGCCCCCCCACACAGCCTGTAATCAGCCGGCTTTGTGTCCACCTCCTGTCCTGTTCTCATGCAGAGCTTCCCAATGGAGCCCCGGCAGGCTCACCTCCCCCCCCACTTATTTGTCTGGCACCGTCAGACCTTTTTTTTTCCTTCTGTCCTCCCCCTTTCCGGTCAATTGGAATAGTCCGCTCATACAAAACATCTCACTTTCACTTCACTCTGACACTTTTGTGGAACAGGGGGGAAGGGGTGATAATTACACATAAAAGAGTTACTCATCAGTTTGTGATCGGCTGATTTAAGATGTCATTATTATGTGCTGCAGGTTGTTTCTCTCCTGGAATTCAGCTGTTATACAATGATCATAGGTTACTAAAGATATATAGTCATTTCTCTTCTAATACCTCATGTTTTTCAGTCAGTTCGAACACTCTGAATAAGAGTTATGATTTCCTTTTTAAAAGCTGCAGAATGCTGTGCGTGCAAGTAAAGGGGATATTTGGCAGCCCATTTAAAGCTGACTAATCAGATTGTCCATGGCTTGATCCTGTGTGTGTGTGTGTGCACACACACACACACACACAGGATCAAGCCATGGACAATCTGATTAGTCAGCTTTAAATGGGCTGCCAAATATCCCCTTTACTTGCACGCACAGCATTCTGCAGNAGAGAGGTAGGTGACGTCCCGACAGGGAGTAGACATCGGTCGCTTCCGACAACACCAGCCACGCGGACACTTCCGTGTCAAGTGGTACTACATCACGGCAGGGAGGAGGAGTAAAGTCAAAACAGTCCAAATGCTGAGGGTCTACGGTCGAACGTGAGGGACGGAACGACTGCCTCGGTAAAGGGTGTAGTGAGTGCTACCACAGTTCACAGTACAACGTAATCCATTCACCATTGGGTTCTGACCCCGACAACCAGTCCGTTTGAGACATAACGACTTGCGACGGACTGTAAGGTGTGAAGTGACTTGTACCCGTATAAAAACAGTTCCGTACCTCCCCGAGTCGGTGTCTTCGTTGTCATAAATTGTTTGGTGATTTCATACCTACGTCCCGGCCTTAAGAAGGTCGTACACTTTGTAAAATCGTCAACCCTCTCCGTAGAACAGGGTTGGGAACCAGGCGCCCGTCACGAGACGAGTCATTCCCGAACCGACACTCGACATCCCAACGGCCAAGTTCAGGGGCTTGTCTGAATCTTCATACCCTCACCCTGACGAGTGACCCTCTCCAGCTCAAGTGAGGACGGGACGACACCAAGGGAACTCGTTCCGGGTGTTGTGGGCGGTGAGGGTGACGAGAATGATCTAGGACCAATGATCCTACCCATGTAAAGTGACACACACGAGACGGACACACTGGAATGTCTCCCAAAGTCAGGGGAGGGTTATAATAATAAAACACAGAACCTCCACCCAATCACAAGCAAATATAGGTATAATATAGGAAACGTTACTGGTGTGTTCCGTTGCCAGTCGACAATCATACCGGCCGGTTACACGGCAACGGAGAAAACCTCTCGAGGAGACCCTTTCGCCAGTCTTGTTCATGTAAGATGCCATGCCCCACCTGTGAGCTTTATTCATCATGCTGTGCAGTTCCAGTTGGACTCTGACATTAACCAGGTGACGCTGAGACCAGTGGGGGTAGAGAGATCCTCAGCTTCCACAGCAGCGAGGCCAATGGGGGTAGGTGAAGCTTCACCTGCTGAAATAGACAATGTAAATTATGGAAAAATCTAGCTGATGACCAACAACACTAGTGACCTATTCTGCGGCTAGAGTCCATAGGAACTGCGGAAAGCTAAGGAGACTGATCCAGATATTGGCCCTATCAGGACATGGATGGATGGAGGCCAGCAGCGCGCACTCACCATGGGTAACAGTCTCCCCATGCAGTCCAGCAAATAAGACACATTTGAGCCAGTTCTACTGCTTAGACAACACACAGTTTAATTCACAAGTTGTGCTGCCTCACGTCTACCACCCAGATATCATGAAACAAATACCTGGGCAAATAGGTTGACATTTTGGTCAGGAGCGCATAGTGGCTCAGCTACAGACCCAAAGCTTCTGGAACAGAATTTTGCTCTCTAACTGCAGCACCTGTACTAGCTTGCATCCAAAGCCAGGCACCTCAAGATACCAAAAGCGTCCATAGGCACTGTCAGAGTAGGAGCATCGCCCTGGATATCAAGAGGCCACTGAATGAGACAGCACAAACTGGATATGGGTCAACCCCAGCCTTTGAAATGGATCCTGCTGACCCACCCTGGGTCTATCTCAACTGTTCACCAGAGTCGACTCCTCATGTTTTTTTACTTGAGGAGAGCAGGTTATAATATTATAATATTTTGAGTAATAGAGAATTTCAGTTTTCAGACTTGCTTTTTCCGGGTTTCTTTATGCTCCATTGTGATATGAACAAATGCTATATAATATACACCATATAGACAAAAGTATTGGGACACCCCTCTGAATCATTGAATTCATTCAGTCCCATTGCCACAGGTGTATACAATCAAGCACCATGCAGCCTGCCTTTACAAACATTTGTGAAAGAATAGGTTGTTCTAAAGAGCTCACTGATTTCTAACGTGGTAGCCTACTGTAATATACAACACAGTGTGTCGAATATCTTTAACACATAAATTAGGCATCCTATCTTATCTAAGCAGTGCTCTTAATTTGATGGTACTATGTTTTTTTCCCATAAATAAATAAATCATTAAAACGTGGCGTGACAGGACAGTATGCTACCAACACAACGTAAAAATAGATCGCTGAGCGGAACCAATGTTTGAAAGCAGCTCCCCGGCGGAGCACTTTAGATGTTGCAAGAGAGAGATGTAAAGATGGCGGCGGCCTTGGTACAAATGACATGTTTGTACCGGGGGATTTTAGCGGTTAGGGTCCCCGGCATCAGGCCGCTGATCCCCGGGCTGGTCCCGCTGCAGTACCGGGCCTTCTCGGTCCGGAAGGAGCCGCAGCTGGAGGAGAACCCGTTCTTCGACAAGTACCAGGACAAGATCCAGAAGCTTCGCAGGTCAGCGGCTAGCGGCAGCACAGCACCATGTCACCGCTAGAAAACTGTCATTTTACAAGTTGTTGGATACTCGAAGAGTTTAAATGCAATATAAACCAATGTTAAAGACTTAATAGAAAGTATGATAGACTAATTATGTATTCGGGGCAAATTTAAACCGGCAGTGTGTTTGTGTTTGACCAGAAGTCTACGGTGATGTTGAGAGGACAAATGGGCTGGTTAGCAATCTTAGGGTAAAATATAAGGAATTTAAATAAACAAACCTTTTTTGGAACGTCAATTGTATGCCGAACATCTTACTAGACTATTTATATGAATAGGAGTATTGGAGGATGGATGTGTAACTTGTAGTAAATTAATACAAATAAAAAAATTATTAGGTTTTTGAAGGTGATTCATTATTATCAAACAAAAATCAAGTGATCACATTCATTCTTTTTCTACCCTTGTGGTTTGTCCCTTTTGACTAGAATTACAGTACCATGGTTTTTAAAAATAAATGTCAATGCATTTAAACAGCCAATAACATGCATGTTAAAAACAAAGTCAGTCACCACTACATTAATATGTAACAATAACATTTGGGCATTTCACATTTTTACTAAAAATGAAAACTTCCACAGCAAACACAACTTGTAATTAATAAATCAAAACAGGCCAAACTATTAATGAGTTGCCTTATCGAGCTGGAACCTCTGAGTTAGATGAGGTATGTAATGGGACTGTGGAGTCGGTTGACAAAGCTGTACATTATTTCTGCGTTTCATAAAGTAAATGTATTCCTTTTGAAACTTTGTATTTTTACTGATTTGATGTCGGTCTTGTTTTCAGCACCAAACCTCAGGAGTACAAAGCCAGAGTGGAGACGCGTCGTGATGCCAAGAAGGAAGTGCTGGGACACTCAAAGCAGACAGAGTTCATCAAGCTCATGGAGCATGAGGTATAAACCGCATGAAAATATACTGGAAGTTTTGAAATAGCATTACAATTGAATTCAGAAATATAAACACATTATTTTCCCCTGCATAATCTGGTTAATTTGTAATGGCGTGCGTTGAAATGTCTTCATAAATTGGACAAAACGTAACTCCTGTGCACCCTCTTACATAAGGGAGAGGAATTATAGAATATGTGTGTTTGGTTTCTTTTATGTTCTGTCTGTTGCAGTTGGAGAAAAAGGACAAGATTGCTGCTGGCGAAGGAGAGTCAGGAGGTTTCACAAAGAACAAGGTGGGGAACATGCTGGAATTAAAATATATTTTCTTTGAAAATAGTTGTACTTCCTACTAGGGCTGCACGATATATCGTGTCGTGACGATAATCGCGTTATGCGCATGCGCGATATTCACATTGCGTGGACGTGTGATAAAAAAAAATCATGTTACAATTATTTTGCTGCTTGCTACAAAAGGGAAACTTGCACGGCTCTCATGTCAGGGGTACTTGAGTGAGTGACATGCAGGCTCTGCATGCACAGCAAACCACCAATCACAATCAAATCTCCAAAGCAAACGGACCCGGTGATTAAAGGTAAAAACACTGAATAAAGTAGTTTCATGTGTTTCTCCAGGGCAGTTCGGCGCTGCTAACCGAGCTAGCTCAGCTTGTTGCTCTGATAACTTAAGATCCAGACGTCCGTGACTAAAATCCTTCATCTGGGTAAATATAGTACCAAGAAAAAATACCAATTGTATAGCATTAAAGTTCAAGAAAGGATGGTTTGCTGAAAAGAAACGGTATTTTCTTCAATTCCTGTATGTTTTCATATCTCAATATATATATATCGCAGGGGGGAAAAAATCGCAATGTCATTTTTTTCCAATATCGTGCAGCCCTACCTCATACTGTTGTTACTTACAACATACCATCAAAGTTAAAATGAAGATCTGGTAAAATATTCAGTGACAATAATTAGTTAATGCTGCGCGTATAAAGGAATAATGTAAGATTATTTTTTGTCTTTGAATTAACAGTAACAATTCAGATATGATGATTTGACTGTGTACAAATAAGGTGTAACGTGTTGTTCTGCAGACGCTGGACTCCATCCTAGACCTGGAGAAGATCCGGGACATGACGGGGGGGGAGGTCTCAGAGGTGAGTCGGCGTCGCTCCGGGTTACCCCAGAACGTCCCTCTGTTTCCTGTGACGCTTTGAACTGCGTGTTCTTTGTTTGATCTTTTGTGGTCTTCTCTCAGCTCTGGATGAATTATTACGCCGCCAAGGACACAATCAGCGCCGTGATCCCGGTGAGTAGAACACAGAGGACATGCTGATGCTTCAGAGTCTCCAGACGTTTCATTCGTTTACATCTTTTATAAGTATTTGTTTCAATGCTTGAAAGGAAGGTTTCTTCACTTTTTTACAATAACTTAATTGATTTGAGTTTAACTTGTGTTCCCTTTATTGATTTTTCCCTTGGATTTTTTCGTTTTTTATGATTTAAGATACATTTTATCAATTTATTCTTATTTATTTATCATTTAGATATTTATTTTTGTTCTTTAAATGTTTTTCTTTTAATATTCCACACATTTTGATATAATGACCTAATATCCTGTCTTTTTTTTACTTGCAGACGCAGTTGTACGATTTGATTAAAAGCAGATCAAATGCTTCCCCTATGGTAAGATCACTGCTGCTTCCACTGAACATGCTGATGGAAAGATGCAGATTCAGAAACAGCATGACATTCTTCTGCTATACTTGACACTTATGAAGCAGTGCTTCACATTCCTCCTCTTTTATTTCTCTCTCCCTGTGGTCTCCCTCTCCTCAGTTCCTCTACGCTCTGCCTCAGAGGGAGGGATACGAGTTCTTCTTGGGTCAGTGGTCCAGACACGAGCTCCACTTCACCTCCCTCATCAACGTCCAGGTAATCCTCTCACAAGACCCCTTCACATGCTGCTGCAGACATTGAGCTCATTTGGGTTTGTAAGTAGGCATGTCTGTTTATATATTTCAAATAGGAAAAACAGTAGAAATCAGAAACTGATAAAAAAAAAGTTCAAACGCAGCTCTTGAAAGTATTTATATTTTATTTAAGTACAAATATTTTTAAAAGGTCTAGTGGAGTTCTAAAGAGTACTGTCGTTGCATATATGACAAGGGAAAATTAGGTCCAATGCTCTATCGATTACGACAAGTTTGGGAAAAGTCCATATTACAGCAGAGCTACTTTATGGTTTGCCATTGCAAATAAGATTTGTCTTCTTCGTCTCACTCTGAAGACTGTAAGCTTACATTTTCTTTATGTGTGCAGACGATGGGTGAGCATGCTCCCAGTCAGCTGATCCTCTACCACTACCCCGACCTGAAGGAGGAGAAGGGCGTGGTCCTCATGACCGCTGAGATCGACCCCAAGTTCATAGTAAGTCCTCCACCTGCTGAGGTTTACCTGTATGCACTCACTGCTGCAGGCTGCACCCTTATCAATGCAGCTTACTGCTGCTTTTACAGGGTTTTCATGACTGTTTGCAGATAATGTACACTATACTGTGCATGGCCCACATACTGTCCTGGCTCTTTTAGTAGTATATTTATGCTTATGATTTTAGAATTACTTGTTTAACTAGAAGGGCAGTTTAACAGCGCCGACATCTGCCAAAGCTGTTTTCATAAGTGAGACATAATATATGCATCTGCCCTTTTTTTATTTGGATCTGCTCCAAAATGAAAAAGGTTCTTCCTACACCCTTCCACTAAGTTTCCTGACAATCATGCCTTTTTATTTCATAATCAGACAAACAAACACTCCAAAGTTCAGCTGTAATGTCCAGGTGTCCACTCTATATACTGTAAAATACTTTTTAAATGGTCTTTTAGCCTTTATTATTTACCTACTTTTATATTGTTCTATATATTTTATAGGTCTGAAAGGGTTTCAACTCATATTATTTATTTAGCAGTTTATTTAATAGCAACATTTCCTTTTTAAGTTGGTCCTTTTTAATATTTGTATCGTTGAACCTTTATTAGAATTCTGAACTTTTTATTACTATCTTTTATTTTTGTTGTGCATTTTTACTTTACTTTATAGGGTTTTATATTGTTTTACCTCAATGTGCCTCTTAACCTGTTAAACTGTTATATTTTGTTGCTAAGCTGCATGTATCTGAATAGGTCTTAACATCTGATCTAAGGGGAATTTGTTGTGGTTTATTTGTTACTTGTGATGTATGAATAGTGCTATATAAATAAAGCGTTATTATAGAGACACTATATTTATTAAATAATATATTGGCTACATGTTAAACTGTCTGTTCCTTCCCCTCCACAGACCGTCCACCAGGCTCAGTGCTTGGCCAATCAGGTGCAGCTGTTCTACGGCACGCATAGGCAGGAGACGTTCCGATTGGTGGAGGACTTTAACCACCACCCTGCAGACTTCAAACACATGTTGTTGATCGCAGAGCTGGAGCAGAGCGGCCTGGGGTCAGCGAGGGAAACCATGGGAAGCCAAGAGATGGACTGAAGACCCTCTCTTGCAGTTGGAACTCCGGGAACCGTTGGTGTTCCTTTTTAAATCAGAGAGATATGTGCTTTTTCTTAAAACAACTAAAAGAAGCTTCACATGAACTCTGTTGGAGATTTTATCATTTCATCTGCCCGACATTTTTTCATTGTGCATCCATGTGTAAGTAACCACAGGAGAATAATGTGGTATTGGTCAGTTCCATGATAAATAAATGCTTTAATAAATCATCTTCAAAAACCCAAATCTCTAATGTGATGATTTTTAGTGATTACTATCGATATGTGCAAATGTCAGCAAATATTTGATTTAACATCTATTGTAAAGCTGACAGTCACTATAGATGTTTTTGCTGGATGTATGTGAACGCATTGTCTCTGGTGTCAGTGGGGGGGTGACAGAGATTTGTCAACTGTCACTGAATCTTCCAGATTAAGATAAGCATCCTTGTAGTGGATTATTTCAGTAATTGAATCGCTGCGATCAGGGAATACAACTCGTACAACCTATGCCATGTCTCTGTGCCCAGATCTAAACCGGAGTGTGTAATTGATGCAATTACTGTTGGTTGTAAAAGTTGTTTCTCTTCAATCCTCCACATAAGAGTAGAGTGTGATTCAGCCAGCTGTAGTGCCTCATGTTAGTCCCAGGCCTGGATGTGCCATAGTGAGGATGTTCGGGCTGCAGCAAATCTCCTGCATCTCCACAAGAAAGGAAAACCAACAGCTCCACCCATAAGCTCCGCTCAGAGGTAAGAATGTATTCTGACACGCCTAATAACTACCAAGAAAGTGCATTATATTGGAATTAACACTGAACACAATGTTTGTTTTAATTTTGCTCTGGCTAAACTGACCTGTAGGGCCTGAGCGTTTGTCCGCTTCCATTGATGTTTCAATGCCCTCTAGTGGACAAACACTGAATCAATGTGATAACTGCCCCATGTAATGTTGACTATGAAGGTGGTACAAAAGTGTTCTATACTGTATATGTTCAAAATGTCAGCTCACTTCTACTGTAAGGAATCCAACACTAAAAAGTACTTTTGTAAAAAAAAAAAGATTTAATTGTAGTTGTGCTTTAATACACAATGGGCTTCAAGCAGCAACAACCTTAATTTTTTAAAAACAATCCTAAAATGCTAATCTGCTCTTCCCTAGGTGAGCCATTAATCCGACTTGGTTATATTATGTTTATTATTGGCATAGGTAATGCTGCCTAAAAAAAGGACAGGTGTTATGCCTCGTATATAAATACCCTGGCTCATGCCCTAGAGCTGGACCGAGGCCAGTAACGTGGAGAGCTCCAGCAGTAGTGAATAAAAAGGTACTGTTATATAACCCTAAACAAAGGTCAGGTGATTTTCCAGAACATGAGTGTTAGTATTGCTGTGAAATCAAACACTTTTTAGGGTTCTATCTGAGCTATTCAGGAGTGAAACACATGCAATATCAATCCCATTTTTGGTCTTAATTGAGATGAATTTTGCCCATATGTAATAATCCAACCATTATAATTAATCTAAAATATGTACAGATTTAAGTCATGATATCCTGTGTTAGTTTATCACCACAAGAAGGTGGAGTGAGCTCATTAACTCGGATGCAGCCAATAGTTGTTCATCATTCACTTTTATTGTTTTCCACATGAAAGAAATACTGTGCAAATCCCCAAATGCAGTTATTAAGGGATGGCCAGATATTCAGTTAAAAACGCAAATCAAAATATCTTCACAAAAATCTGGACAAACATTTACTCGCACAGAAAGCTGAAGAGAAAAAAATCGTACCAGCTTTTCTCTTTACTTTGTCATCTTTTTTTCTTGAAATCAGAAATGAATTCCATCGTGATGAAATAAAAAAGATCCTATTTGCTTCCTTTCATTTTCATGAATCCAGAAAACTTAACAGATCACAGAAGAATTGTGAAAACAACGTGTGTTTGCTCCCTGTGGCTTTCTGTTCTCACGGACCACCATGGCACACACATTATACAAAAATAGACAAAAACACATTGGCCATTAGAAAAAAAACCAGCCTTGTTTTTAAGACGGGCCGGACAGTTATGTGCTACAATTCTCACATTTCTAATCATCTCAATGAAGTATAAACAATAACATTATTTTCCACTAGAATCCTTGTGTATTGTTCCTCATATTGGCGGACTGTAACAGATTACAGTGGCATAAAACATTAAGGGCACAACAGATTTAATACAAAACTCACACTGTGGACTCCTCATGCTTTCCTGCAGCCTCAATATCATTTCATTTCCAATCCACACAAGCTCTTTGTGAGCATTCAACAGTCAGATCTACATTATTAACAGATTCAATCTTCACAGTGCATTTAAAAATCCTAAAACTACAAAACATTAGATCTGAAGTGCTTTCAATCATCTAAAAATGACAACTAAACAAAAAACATTCCTCCAAGAACACCCACGACTCTTTTATACTTTTAAAGTAAAGTACCATGTGATATAGCAGTGGGTGAACAGAGTACTTCAGTGGTTACACAGGGCGTTGCTACAGCGTTCTGTAACTTCAGAGACCACTTCAGGGTAATACAAGACACGAGAAAATAATACTTTCTTCTCCCTCAATTAGTTTTGATTCAGTTACATTATTGTAAAAATACAAACGTTTTGTGTAAAGTAAGTAAAGAAGCTTTCAGTCTAAATGTTCTTGATTTTCACAAGATTTTGCAGCCAAGATGTGACAAAACAGGGAATGTAATTAAATGAAGTTAATATTCAAAAATATTCTTTGTTTTTTCTCGAAGCAAAATAAACGGATGATGAATGTGCTTCGTGCATCACAGATTCTGCCAATCAAATCTCTGCCCTTTTCTTTGACGGAGCCGATCAGAAGCATCATGGCAGTCTTCAAACAGAGTCCTGTCTCCAAATGATTTTACATCCTCCTGCATCTAGAATGTTCTTTGTGTTTTCTGCTGCCTTAAACTCCAAGGCGGTACACAGCACTGCACACATGAGTATAGTATTCCCCCCGTGGGCAGGATTGTTCAAACTCTCCTGGACTGTGTTAGAAAAAAAAGAAGCCATGGACAATTTCACCGGACTAACCGTGTGCTTTTTTTTCATCCCTCGTGCCCCCCTGCTGTGACTCCCTGAGTGCTTCCTCTGCAGTCGTGTCTCAGTACATGGCTTCGGGGTCTCGTATGCTTCCGAACGACAAACTGAAAGTGCTTCCTAGTCTCTTAGTGGTCCCGCCTCCTTCCCGCTTCTTCTTCCTGTTCCAGTTCAACAAGGAGGCGGAGCTCTGGCCCTTGGCTCCGCCCAGCACTCGCTGCCGAGCGTTTTCCTTGTCGCTGCCGTGGGACAGCGCGATGGCCCTCCTCTCCAACTGCAAACAGGGAGGTTTTTTTAGGGTGATGACATAACATGAACACGGTCTCAAAAGAAGATATTTGGTACAGCTCCACCAAAACACACACACACACACACACTGTCACGTTCTTACCTGTGTGTCGTGTGAGTGTAGCGTGACCACACTGAGCTCCACTCCTCGCTCGCTGCAGCTCTTCAGCATGTGGACCACCTCCCCATGTTTGGCCCATTTACAGTCCTCTCCGTCCACGGCTACGATGTAGTCTCCTTCCCTTAGTCCCGCCTCCTGGGCCACACAAACGTTAGGAGAAGAATGAAAATCCTTAACATTTGTAGAACAGCCAATAGGAACGCCCTCTCTCTTAAATGACCCGTCATCCCGTCTCCTGTTAGGGAACATTTCCTTAAGCCTTTCAACAGTACAATATGCTCTAAGGTCAATTTGAATTGTTTGCCCAAAATGATGCCAAAAACCAAACTGCCCTCCCCCCATGTATTACTGGATTGGTAATGAGGCTGGTTATATAGTCTTCATCTTTTTAGATTTTGAAAGAAAACGAAAATAGCCAGGAGCAGATTTAATTTAATTCAGTTCAAACAGATTTCCAGCTGGATTTCATGTCTGCAGAACAGAGATTGAGTTTCCTGCTGGCACAGGATATTGTTTACTGCATTTAGCAGAGAACGCAGCACGGCTCAGACATTTCTCCAGCAAAAGAAAAAGAAGAGAATTGAGATAAAACTGTACTGCGTATCATGGATTAAGAAAGAAAGAAAGAAAGAAAGAAAATGGTTGAAAGGAGACATTTTCTTTAGTTTTCTGTAGTATCTTTGGTAACTGTTTCCATCTTCCTTGTAGTTTAAAGGATATGGAATACATGAGCTGTGGTGAGTGAAGTTTTCTTACCGCTGCACAGCCTCCAGGCACCACTCCAGCCACCAGCACGGGGGAGTCTCCTCTGAGCGTGAGACCCAGCCCCCCCTCCCCCTTCTGCAGGCAGATCACACGCACCGGACCCCAGCGAGCCCGCGCACAAAACACTGACAGAGGCCCCTGCAGAACAGGAGGGAGTTATCAGGAAACCAGGGGATGCAGATTTTAAAAAGCTCTTAAAATCACATAATTTTCCTAATGATTATGTCTTACGAGTCTTTGGAAGATATCAGTAACTTGGACTGTAGAGAAGTTGGTCGGAGTGATTTCTGGTTTCTGATTGGTTTGAGCTGTCAAAAGAAGAAGCCTCAATCACTTCCTGGTATGAATCATACTGTGGTTTTATAATACTGTGATTTCATCTCAGATACTTACACTGTATCTCTGGAGCCTCTGCGGTTTCATCGAAGTCGTCCTCTCTGTCCAGCTCCGAGTACTTGTCCAGCGAGCGTTTGTGTGTGAGGGACAGCACGTCCTGCAGGATGTCCATCTTTCTCAGGATCTTGCACAGACTGTGGACACGCATGGCCTCCTCGTGTCGGATCACCGCCCGCCGCAGGTGAGCTTTACCTGCATGCATAGAATCACGCATTATGTTAAAGGGGACATATCGTGATCAACATGTTCAGTGTTCAGGACTTTAAATGTGTGTTTCTTAAATGCCTACCAACCCGTAAAATGTGAAATAAGATATAATATATAATATAACATTGCTCTCCCTTTCTATGTAAAATGCAATTTCCTTAGAATATACAACCCGTCCCGTCCCATCTGAGTACCTCATAAGCCAAACAGAGCAGTCTGGGCTTTTCAACTTATGAGCTTCAAACACCAGTGCTAAAATTAAGTGTTTTGGACGGAGGCCGAATATAGAGAGACAGTATGAGAAGAATAATGTCTTTTGAGTGTTAGAACATGTACATATGAGTCATAGTAGAAACCCAAAACCCAAATATGAACCTTAAAACCGGCATGATCTGTCCCCTTTAAAATGTGTGAATACTACCTAGATTGGAAATCTAGTCAAAAGGTACTGATTGGCTGTCAGTTTAAACAAACAACATTGCCCAACCACCAAAATAAAATTAGCCCAACTATTTGGACTTTACACACGTAATATGAGTATTAATATTTCCCTGTCTGACCCAATCACATTTGGCATGTCCGTATGTCTGGTGTAAATATAAACCTATTCCATGAACTCACCAAGCTTTCTTCTTTTTTCAGGGTCTCGTAGAACCTGGCTGAGTGGTGGCCCCGCAGGAACGTTGACGTAGAACTGGAGGAAAGCCTTCTCAGCTTCCTCATCACCCTCTTCCTCCTCAGCGGACACTGAAGAACATCATGAAAGTCATTTCAAGGTAACGTGAGTAGATACAGTAAGAACGTTTTTGGTAAGGATAACTTGAGGACTGAATCCTAAAACATACCGCACTATTTGTAAAGGTACTTTGTCTCATTCACATTGCAGAGGTTTGACTATTTATTAAAAGGGGTCCTATCATGCTTTCCTGTAGTGTGTAACCCTAGGATCCCAAAGATCTTCTCTCCCACACACTCACAGTAGAGGCAACATATCTGTGCTTTGGTGTGACTTACATGTGTGATCACAGAGTGCCACAGCAGCGTAGTAGTGTGAGACGGCACGGAAGTGTTCAGATTTGACCTGAACCATGGACGCCCAAGAGAACGGCACGTAGTCCTTCATCAGGGGCTGCGCCATGGTCTGCAGCACCAACAGGTAGACGTCTGACACCTGCAGGACACACGTGCACACACACAGTGTGAGGATCACAGGATGGTGACAGTTACAACACAACCAGAGTCGTGTGCACTCACCCGTGCTGCCTCTTGAGCCAGGTGGAGTTGTGAAGTGAAGTGTGTGTCCTCAGTGGTGAGTGTGACACGCTCAAACACACACTCCTGCACCTGGGCAACCATCAGACGGACCAGCATGCACAGCGACGGACAGCTCATGTCCAGACTGGGAGCGTTGGAGAAATTCTCTTTAAGGTAATTAAAAGCTCCTGAGAAAAAGGACACAGATATGCAGAATGTATTTATCAGGCAAACATACCAAAGACTTCCTAGGCTTTATAAGTACACTATGACTTTATTCATGACCATGACATGTATGGCATACTAAACCATAACCTTTTTTAGCACACTATACATTCACATGGCACACAGTGGGGATTACTCCTATTTCTGAATAAAATAATGGATAGATGAAATGATGTGGAAAACAATTAGTGCTCCAACGTGCTGTCTCCCCACCTGCAGCTCTCTGAAAGGCGTCTACAGCTCGGTCGATGCCGACTGTGGCCGAGCGGTCCTGCCGGGCCCCGATCTGTGTGAACAGGGCCCCGAGGTTGAACAGCACACTTCCTTTTTCAAACGCCAGCGTACGCTGACATGACGGGACGCCTGTCAGGGAGTCGTACCTAAGAGATGGAGAAGAAGGGAAAACATTTACATATCAAAACATACTATACATTACCAAACATGAGATTTTTATTGCATTATATGCTCTAAGTTTATTATATTAACTTTGATTTTTTTCTACAACATGCTTTATTATTATTAATAATATTCTACGCCGTTTGGCTTAAAAGACAAGTTTAACCAAAGGGTATTAAATAATCATTCTACTAGCACCACCAATTTGGCGACAGCTAGCCAGATAGCCAACATTCGCTAGCTAGCTTGTAAGGAGGGTATCTAACATATGCTAGCTAACTACTTAGATAAGTAACGTTATTTAGCTTGAAAAACAACAGCCAGCGTTTCGCTAGCTAGACTGATGGCTACTGTTTGCTACTGACAGCTTGTTAGATAGATAGCCATCAGCCAACCAGCTTGTTCTATAGCTTTATTAGGTTATCTTATGGCAAACAATACAATGACTGAGAAAAATATTTTCAAAAAGATATTTGTATGACTATTTATGAAAATGTAAGACATTTTATGGCATACAATACTTAGAGCATACTTCACTATGATTATTTATGGCCAACATTTGTCTTTTTAATTCAGCTAATTAGCACATTATTAAGTTGTCTGCTTACACACAGATGACTACGATTCTTAAATGTGTTTTTGTCTTTTATTTTTTTAAGGATTCAATGACCTCCAGGATTTCACATGAGGAAGTGTTCATGTCCTACCAGTGGAAGTGTGCACCCAGGGTCCTGTGCAGAGGGAAGAAGCGCTGGTCCAGGTAGTAGAGCTGGTTGTAGTACTCCATCAGCAGCTCCAGACCGGCCTGGTTACGACTGGGTGTTCGCATGGCCTGGCACAAACAACATCAGATATACAAATAACTCAAAATGTCATACTATTAAAGAGAATGCAAGTTTGCAATAAGTACATTTCATTCCTTTCAAAATGCAATGGTACAACATCATTTAATGAAAAACACACTTTATATTTCTTTTCATTTATTAACCTGTCTGAGATCCATTAGCTCTTTGATCTCCTTGGCGTAGAGGGAGCTGTCCTCTCCGTAGTGCTCACAGATGAAGTCCTGTTAGGGGAGACACACGGTCATTTGAGGAAAATGAGTTCAACAGCTGAGGGAACTCTAATATTAAAATGATTGCAGCAGACTTGACTGAGCTTTTGGTGCCTCTCGCTAATCTTTCAACAAATATTCAACATGAAAAAAAGCCCATTAGTTTTGATACTTGAGATTAAACCAAAAGGATGTATAATGTAACGTCATGTTCACCTGGATACAAACTGTGAAATCCACCTCTTTGGTTTCTTTCAAACCGAGTGGGATCATGGGAACGTTGACAGCCTCACTGTGAACAGAAATAATAACATCATCTGTGTGTGTAATCTTTCCCAGGTTACACTACTAGTACACACCATCATGTAAACATGGAGCAGGATATAGCACAGTCAAGTCAACAATGCCATCTGCTAGTCTTCAAGCCCCACCGGCTAAAGCCAAGTATTAACCCTTGTGGCCCTGACACCCCCACCCCCCAGCCTCCCATTCAAAGAACTGAAACACGTACGCACTCCATGGGGCCTTTAATGACGCTCTAATCAGGGGATTTATCCTTTCCATGAACCCAGGCTGCAGAGGGAAAAACCTTGGCACGCACGCACGCACGCACGCACGCACACACACACACACACATCCCCCTCTACCCCTACCTGCAGGGTGGTGGACATACCAACCATTTTTAATTCACAATGAAATTAGATGTATTCAAAAATGTTACTTTTTTTTAAACGCAGTGCATTAAAAAATATTCATAGACTACTGGAGCTTGTTTTAAAAAAAATCCCCCTTTTGAAAAACAAACTACAAATGTCCTAACAGGCCCTTGGCTTCCTGTCATCCTTGCAGAGATGAGTATTCCTGACGGAACCTAAAAATCTAAACCTTAACCCGCAAACTGTCCTCTGAAAAATATAGAACCAGACATGGTTCGTCTCCCAAATATAATCCCACAGCCTACAACAGCCTTGGTACTCACAAACACATAAAGCAGAGACACACAGCGCACCCTGTGAATACGAACATGTACTGTAATGGATGCTTGTTTTCTCCAATTATATTTCTCATTAGACTAATAAGACTGACCTGGAATTCATTGGGCAAATCATAAGAAAAGGGTCATGGTTTATAATAGGCCATTGTTTGTTGTGTGCATGTGTGTACCTGTCTGTCTGGTAGACCTCCATGTTGCTGTTGAGCTCCTCCAGCTCCTCTTTCAGCAGCTGCAGGTTGGAGTTGACGAAGCTGAGCTCCAGAGCCACCGTCTCCTTCACCTTGTTGTTGGTTGTTGCTCTGCAGGAATTAACAAAAACATCAGAGCTTCATTAAAACCAGCATTTTACAGACTGTGACACATGTGCATTTCTAATGAAAGAAAAACTGTTATTTACTAGAATTGACTTGACAACAAACCAACGACTTTATAAGGCAAATATGAGACATTGAAACTGAGCATGAGACAACATTACAGACACCTCCGGAACTACGTTCACAGACAAATGGATAACATAATCATGAGTTTGAACACTTAACATATTTGATCTGATATATATTATTCTATCATTTGATATGACTTCAGTAGATGATATATGAATTCATCTTTATTGTTTGATCCTTTCTGAAGTATACGTTCCTCTCCTCTTCTTAATGTGTTCCACACCTGTTGCTCACATTACTGATCCCTCTCATTTGAGAATGGAAAACACAGATCTCCACTTCAACAAAATATACCTCAGTTTTAGTTCTTTGTAAAACAGGGCTACAAGGCAGTTGAAATTGTTACTGTGTGTCTTGCTTTATCACGCAGCTTAGTGCACAAATAACACGTTGGAAATCTGCATTCATGAACGTAAACATAAACATTGCAGTGATCTTTGGCAAAATGCCTGTCTTTAATTTATGCAGCTATCCTCTCCCCCCCACCCTCTGCTCATTCACTTAAAGACTCTCCAGTCCTCCTCTGGTTATAGGGGGAGGGTCTTAGTGCTGAGTAAGCCAGTTCACACTACTGGTCGGGGGGGGTTCTCAGGTCAACTACATGCAATGTTCCTGGAAGAGGCATCACTGGATTCCCATATACAAATACCAAGGAACGCCCCCTAATTATGCAGTTATGAAATGCTTGACAATACAATGACAAGATGACAAGACAGAGTTGAGGGCCTAATGGTGCGTTCACTTTATATTATATATGGTCTATGCTTCACACACCTGTTCACTGGCAGATTTGTGCGGGTCATTTCAGGTGTGAAAGTAAAAGGACCGATTACACTCATTTATGATAGCAGTGATTTAATTAGGATTTAAAAAGCTAAACCACTTAGACATTAACATATTGCGAAATCTGTTCAGGAAAATTATAATTGATCTGTATAACCACGGTAACACTTATACACACCATCGCCGGTATTTCCCCAGATGAATAGGTCAAAAGCTGTGTATCAGACTCCATGTGCTTTGTTCGTTACAAAGTGTGTGTGACCGATCCCACAGTAACAAGCCCTCAATGGAGACTGTCTCCATTTGAGCTCTTATTATATTATTAGGCTTTTGAATATAATCATAAACTCTGCTGATAAACATCAACACTGATGCTTGTGTCAATCAAACAAAAAAGACTTAAGTACACTTTCCCAAAACAAAGGGATGGTGCCATTTTGGACATGACATGATAAACTGTACAAACCTCATAGCCACTTGAGCTACGAGCAACTTATGATCCTTGCTGTTGACCCCGTTTATATTTTAGCATTGTGTTTATTTTGGATTTCCTGTCTTTTTGATATCTTCTTATTTGTATATTTTGATGCCTGCAGGATTGCTCAGCCGTTCATACATTGTGCTGTAACTCACAGCTGCAGAAAAACTTCTCTTATCTGTGTTTGAGTCAGATGTTCCAAAAGCAGTATTTTATAAGTGATTGGATAACTGAGGGAAGATATATCCGTACACTTAGCTCCATTAAGTGTTTTTACACTATTTTAAGCCTTCTTTTTATAAGACTTAACAGACTGGTAAAAATAAACCAAACCTCTGCTTGTAGATTTTCTTTAGATAACATATTGTCTCAGTAACTGGAGAAGGAGCTGAACATCTCAAAGCTGTAATGCACAATCAAAGTTCCTGTAGATAATCCGTCCAGTTAGAGCACTTTACCTTCACCTCAAACACACACACACACACACACACACACCACACACACACACCACACACACACACGACACACACACACACACACACACACACACAACACACACACACACACACACACACACACACACACACACCACACACACACAACACCACACACACACAACACACACACACACACACACACCACACACACACACCACACACACGACAC